TGGTCGCTATGAAAGCCGGACTGACGGGAGGTACCGCCTGACTGACTCTCATGATACGACTGCGTATGCCTCATTGAGGTATTTCGCAGACTGTCTTGGAAGTTTGAAGTAGAGGCCGACTCTGACAATCGGTCACTCTTCTTCTGCTCTAGCAGTAGCCGAGCATCTGTGAATGTTTTCTTCGACCCGTCCGCCTGAATATGACGAACAGGTTTCCTATTTCCTGTAGGATAACGGAATTTTGTGAAATCAAGGGCAGGTGGCTCCCGCTTCCTAGATTTAGGATGAGGAGTCGCCTCTCGCCCTTGAACTGGCTTCCTCTTCAGTGAAGTGGAGGGTTTCTTGGCCGAATGCTCCTTGACTGGAGCAGGCGGCTTCTTGTTGATCAACTCTTGAATCTCTCCCTTGAAGTCCCTCATGAAGGTCATGAGTTCGTTCCTTGTGATGGGAGCAGACCCATCAGTCGGCTGTTGCCGAACAGGCGGTGCGCCTGCTGGCTCGCTTCCTGTTTGAAGATGCTCCCGTTCCCTCCTTTCGGTATGACGGGTACGTCGGGCCCTTAGGGTCCCGTCTGAAGCTGTATGAGCTTCAACTTCAAATTCACTTTCGGTATCATGGTCCGACTGAACTTGAGGGTCGTCTAGGGGACGCCTCTCTTCAGGAGTCAGTACAGACTTGGATGCCATCTCAGAAGTACTCTCCCCACAGACGGCGCCAAATGTTTCGGGGTTTTCTGATGTCTTGCGGGAGAGTTACAATTCCGAGACTGGAACCGGACGCCTGTACCTGCAAAATAACGGAGACTCCTGTGAGCTCCGCCTCCAACGGTCAAGTTAGTACCTGATTAAGGAGTAATTAATACGGAAATTAAAGTGATTAGGTCTCTCTAGGTGAGAGTGATTAACGTAGGTAATCTGCTTTGTTAGCGAGATCAGCCGGTTATTACTGTGAGTAATTAATGTGTTTTTCCCGTAATGTTTCTGTGTTCTTTTTCGTAATCCCCCTTAATGAGGATTAAGGGAGGTATTTATAACCTTGGGAAACGTGCCCATCCTAGGTTTAGGTTAACCTAGGGCCGATTGGGCTTCCCTCGGAAGTTGGGCCTGGGTGGCCGGTTTCTCCATTAGGCATGGAGTATGCCACATGTCGTGACATAACAGGTCCAAGGTGGACGAATAAGCGCGTGCCACGTGGGAAGCCCTGGCTGTTCCAACTAGGGGACACTTGGCAGGACCTGATTGGTCCATGTGGCGCATTCCGATTGGTGGGAGCAAAATCCCCTAATCAGAGCTCATCTGGGAAGACGAGCAAAAAGAAGCCTTTAAGCAACTCAGCAAGAATCTGGCTCAACTCCCAACTTTGGCAAGACCAAATTGAAGGGGAGGCCTTATACTTGTACGTGGCGGTTAGCCCAGCAACAATAAGTGCGGTGTTGCTGAGGGAAGAAGAAAGAATTCAGCAGTCGATCTATTTTGTCAGTCACACTCTGACAGATGCCGAGACGCGCTACCCCTTACTCGAGAAAGTTGCTTATGCAGTAGTGGTAGCTGCTCGGAAGTTGAGGCCCTACTTTGATTCCCATCAAATAGTGGTCGTAACTGATCATCCGCTGGAAAAAGTCCTCGGCAAAGTAGAGAACTCTGGCAGACTAGGAAAGTGGGCTTTCGAGCTCGCTGAGTTCAATGTCAGCTATCAGCCGAGGGCAGCTATCAAGGCGCGAGCCTAAGCAGACTTCCTTGCCGAGTGTTCCTATCAAGAGACACTCGATAAAGGGAAGAAAATGTAGACTGCTTTCACGGATGGATCCTCCACCGTGAATGGTTCGGGAGCAAGGGTCGTTATGGCCTCTCTCGAAGGCAAATCCTTTGAGTATGCACTAAAATTTTCGTTCAAGGCTTCAAACAACGAAGCTGAATAGGAGGCAGCAATTGTTGGCCGAGAGGTGTGCATAACACTAGATGTTGAACACGTTTGTTAAAAGACAGACTCTCAGCTCGTCGCAAATCAGATCCGTGGCGAATATAAGGGCAAAGAGTCCTCAATGATACCTTACATCGCGAAGATCAAGGTTGTTATTGCGAAGCTGTGAACTTTTGAAGTCGAGCTGATCCCAAGGGGTCAGAACGCACAAGCCGACGCACTTTCCAAACTTGCAAGTTCAACTTTAACTGAGTTGAATCGATCCGTATTCGTGGAGGTGTGCCGAGAAAGAAGTGTGGATGGAACAATGGACATATGCTGCGTCGCACATGAGTCAAGCTGGATGGATCCCATCTTAACTTACAAACTTCGAGGAGAAATCCCCGAAGACAGGAGCTTAGCCTCTAAGATAAAAAGAATCAGCTCAAGATTCATCGTCTTTAGAGGAGAGCTTCTGAAAAAATCTTTTTCAGCCCCGCTATTGAAGTGTGTGGGTCCAAAAGATGCTAATTATATCCTTTGGGAGTTCCACCTCAGCATCTGTGTAAACCACATAGGGGGAAGAACCTTCGCCCATAAGGCACTAAGGGTCGGGTACTATTGGCCAACCATGATCGTAGATGTAAAGGAACTGGTCAGAAAATGTGAAAAATGCCAAAAATTCGCACCAGTTATTCATTGGCCATTGCAAGATCTTCATCCAATCCTGAATCCTCTTCCATTTGCCCAATGGGGACTGGATATTTTGGGACCGTTTCCCGATGCCCCATATTTTGGGTTGATTAGGTTGTCTGGTTGAGTCTATCAAGTGAGATATAGGGGTTCACGGCTAGTGCTTTGATTCTGTCCTGTTAATTATCTTAATATACGGTTTCTATTACTTCAAACCTAATCCATCCTGTTATATGTCTGATCAACTGAAAAGAAGTGCCTGTTCCTAACCTTGTGTAGAACCTAAAGATTGGTAAAGGGTCATTTTGAATTATTCTGATTTTCAGAAATGATGCAATGGATAGATCATTAGAATTTGGAGTCCCATCCCATCTTTCATTGGTGGACCAATTACTCAGGGGTCTAGGTCTTGGTTATTTGGTGAACGAGCCATTTCTTTGGTGGTATGGTATGTAGACACAACAACTGTTTCCATCTTTGTTTGAATTTTCTACGGATAGGGTAAATGCACAAGTCATTTACTTATATTTTGCACTCCTTGTAATGGGGATATATTTCTATAAGTATGTGTTTTTTTTGAACATTTAGTATTCTGATTTGAATTTTGGTGCATCCATTGCTTTGCTAATGATTAGGGCCTAATATTGGTCGTCTTAATGGGATTAATATTGTAGATTTGTATGGACCTTAGCCAGGCTGTGAGCTTTCACTTGCTTTATTTGTACGCTTGGTTGTTGGAACAATTTGCTTCTAAAAGTTAATATAAAGTCAGCAAAAAAAAAAAAGTTTCAGCTGCTGTTGCAGCTGCCTCGGGTTCTGTTTGGTGTTGCAGCTGGGCTCTTGAGTGCTGGGCTCTGGCTGATGTTGCTGTTTATGGTGCTGAATGGTGGTTTCTTCTGTTAGCCAATGTGCTGATATTTTTGATGGGTTAAGTATCTTACCTACTAAATATCGCATTGCATGGACGGATTACTAATTTACTAGTCCACAATTAATGTTAAGTGCATGATACAGGCACAGCAAACTTGTAAAGGGAAGGAAATTTAACTGGATGAAGGCAGGTATTTTAGAATCAGACCGTGTAGTAAATGTGAGCCCTTTCTATGCACAAGAGATTGTATCGAGTGTTGAGAGAGGTGTGGAGCTCAATGATATAGTTCAGAGGACTAGAATCACTAGCATAGTGAACAGCATGGATGTGCTGGAATGGAATCCAACTACTGATAAGTACGTTGGATCTAATTATGATAGATCAACTGTAAGTAACATTAAACAAGATTTTTGCTTTTGTAAACCTTCATGAAATGTCCTAATGTGTTAGTTTTCGCTTCTTTCAGGTTGCATTACAGTGGCGGACCCAGGAATTTTTGACCGGTGAGTCACAAACTCACAATCGATAACCAAATATGTAAAAAAAAATTTTTTTACCAAAATTCCCAAAAAAAATTATTTACAAAGATCATCCAAATAGAAAATTGACAAGATTACAATACTAACTAACATTTAACAAGCTTAAAATTGACAAGACTAAAATTAACAAACTAATAATTTTTTTTTTTTTTTTTTTTAAAAAAAAAAAAAAAAAACTTAAAAATTGTTTTGGGCCTTGGTGAGTCATTTGACCCACCAGGCACAAGGCCAAGTCCGCCCCTGGTTGCATATGCAAAGCCTCTTATAAAGGAAGTTCTGCAAGCTGACGTTGGTCTACCCGTGGACAGGAATATCCCTTTGATTGGTTTTATAGGCCGACTTGAAGAGCAGAAAGGTTTTGACATTCTTGCAGAAGCAATTCCTCAATTCATCGGGCAAAATGTGCAGATTATTGTTCTTGTAAGAATAAATCTTACCTCAAACATGCCTTTTTATTCTTTAACAAAACCATTTTTCTGATTTGTTTTCATGATTTTTTGGGGGGAGTAGGGGACAGGAAAGAAGGAAATGGAGAAGCAGATTCAATAGTTGGAAGCTCTCTACCCTCAAACGGCGAGAGGGGTGACCAAATTCAACGTCGCATTGGCTCATATGATTGTAGCTGGTGCTGATTACATGCTGATACCTAGCAGATTTGAGCCCTGTGGGCTAATCCAACTCCGTGCAATGCATTATGGAACGGTTTGTGACAGCTTTATGCAATGAATTATCCTATTTTTGAAGCTTTGTACATCAATATATGAACATGATGACCTATTCTGATCTTTCATTGATCAGGTGCCATTAGTGGCCTCCCCTGGTGGACTTGTCGATACTGTACAAGAAGGTTACACCGGATTCCACATGGGTCGTTTCAGTGCAAATGTAACAATCACCTAAACCAAAAAAAATCAACCTATTTCATTTTTTTTATACTATTTAGTATAATGATCATTCCTGTACTCTGAAGAGCTGACATTTTGGTGTATAATGGTATATCAGTGTGAAGCGGTGGATCCAACTGATTTACAAGCTGTAGTAACAACAGTGAAGAGGGCAATAGAGACATATGGAACTCCGGCTTCAAGAGAGATGATCCAAAATTGTATGGCACAAGATTTCTCATGGAAGGCAGGCTGTGTGAAGTGATCAACATAGTACACTTTTTGCCAAGTTAATTTTATTTGTCATGGTGCTAAGTAATTTGCTGTATTTTCGTTCCTTGCTTTGATTTTTTTTTGGACGAAAATTGTAATATTACAGCCTTTTTTAATGAAAATATGTAACTTTATATATATGTTAATGTTTCTATATCAATTAAAGTGAAAACAATGCAAAAAAAAAATATTTTTATTTCTTTGGGGTATTTTTGGCACCGGTTTTGACCTGAATCGGTGCCTAAATTGTCGTTTTCTGCACCGGCTCTAGCTTTGAACCGGTGCCAATAGTATTGAAAAAAAAGCGCGCCAATATGTGTGAGTAGATTTCTTATTCCTTTCTCTTTCAATTATTTATGCTTTTCAATCATGTTTTCTATAATTATGATTGTTATTGCTTTCTTCAATATGTGTGAGTAGATTTCTTATTCCAAGATCTAGGGTAGCCCAATTATGATTGATGCATGAATTAATCTTTAAATTCTCTAATAACCATTGTAACTGTCTATGCTAAATTGATTGTGATTATGCCAATGCTATATTAGAGATAATTAGTATTGTTATTATTCCATTATTTCTATCACAGCGAGAGTTGGATTTTAACGGAATTGAGTAAATTGATTTAGGATTTGAAATTCAACATGAGAATAGTTGAACGGATAATTGAGAATTGAAATAAAGTGTTTAATGTCTCTAATTTGCATGATACCATGAGCATAGGCTTGATTGTGGGTTAGGGAAGCACTAGACGAATAAGGTAAAAAGGCACCGGTTCAAACCCCCCTTATGGCACCGGTTTTGAACCGTTGGGGATTTGAGGGATGCCAAATCCCTATAAATTTGGCACTGGCTCAAAACCGGCGCCAACTAAACGCTTTGGCACCGGTTAACCGGTGCCAACTAAAGGCTTTGGCACCGGTTAGGTGCCAACTACATGCTTTAAAAAAAAAAATTACTTTTCCCAACATTTGGCACCGGTTAACCGGTGCCATTGTACTTGAAGAAAATAAAAAAAAAATTTATTTATTTTTTTGCTTTTTTCCTCTTAAAATGGTCCGCAAACAATATATATATGAAAACTTATTTATTTTCATTAATAACTAGGAAATATTTACACTTTTCATCCAAAATAAAATAAATTAAAAGGACAACAAAAATTACCACACCCTTTTGATACATATCCCTCACATAAGCCTCCTCACCATCAGACACCTTTGGAGCATGGGTAGCATCACTCTCAGAAACAACATATGCCATTTGAACAGACCCTCCTCCAAGATCAACTACTCCCACTGTATCTGAGTTCGCTTTCCCAATTTTCCTAAAAGATAGTTTATAGTTACCTACACACCAATGAAGAAAACAAATTAATATCCAGAGGCTTAACATAAAGAAGTCAAATGCTGAAACCACTAATAACTAGCATCATGCATAGAAAAAATTAAGAGGAGAAATACACTCGCATAGAGAGTACTTTCAAAATCTATAACCAATCAACTAGGCTCCATAATAATAAAAAAAAAAAAAAAAGAAATATAATAAATAAAATAAATAAATAAAAAGAAGAGAAAAAAAATGCCCTTTTATGAGCATAACCATCAGTAATCAAAAACAAACACAAGCTCATATAAAAGAAAGAGGATAGTACTTGTACAGCAATGAAAGGCCCTACCTAACAATCACTGAGCCCTTAGGGAGAAACAACAATAGATTGACATAGTCTATAAGTAGAGACGATTCAAGAAAGCACCAAGTAGCAGGGGGGAAAAATGTCCAGTAAAATGTGATGAAATCTAGTCAATACACAAAGGGAAAAAGGGAAAATAAAAAACTGGAAAATGGTAAACACACCAGACTAGCATCGAGAGAGAGAGAGAAAGAGACTAGTCACTTTGCTACCCAATTTAGTCCTTAATTCTACTAAATGAACCCACATAGTAGTACCCAATTTAGTCCTTGATTCTACTAAATGAACCCAAATAATTATATCCAATTTAGTCCTTAATTCTACTAAGTGAACCCAGATATAGTATTTATGTAGTAAAAACTATTTCACTGGAACTTTAGCATATGGAACAAAAGAAGTTTAAAATACACATGATGTGACCACATACCCATTGAAATGCACCTTCTTGGTTTCCATCCAAGACAGTGACCCATTTTGGTTCTGATTTCAGATCGCTTTTATCCTTGAGCAGGTCCTTGACCTATGTAGAATAAGATACCAACTTCAATTAAAAGACATTAAAAGAAAGAATCGTTCTGTTAAATCTTCTTTGACAATCAATAATGAGAGGCACCAAAAAGTAATAAGTCTAATAAGTAATCATCCGTGACAGATAAGAGGGTCAATAAGAACATACTTCTTGCAATATTCTTTCCAGAGCATCATCATCCTGTTTTCTCAAACCTGCGGTTGCCTATAAGAGAAAATGGCTCAATTCTTTCAGGTTATATTGTCAAATAACAATTTATTAGACAATCAATCAATTAGAAAAGAATAACAATCAGCTAAATAGCTTACCCCAACTCTGACCGGAGTCTTCCCAAGCAAGTTCTTGGGAATAACAGCTTCTGCTTGCTCTAGGAGAGAAACTAGTGAATTAGCAGCATCCACCTGAGGGTTGCTTGCATATGCACTTAGACCTGGCTTTTACTAACTACATTTTACTCACGAACCAAACAAGCACCAAGCAACTACACTACCACACCCCTGCCTATTGCCAACCCACACACATACATTGCACAGAACTATACTAGTGTCCTGTTAGGCACAAACACCACCTATTAGTAGTTTTATATGTATAGCTGGAGCCCATGACCTCATACTCAATCCCTACAACAAACAAGAACACTCCATGTTAACAACTAATAACAACCCACACCACGATTCAACAGCAAAACCCATATATTTTGCCAATACAACATTAGAAATGTGGTATGTAGCACATTAGTCATTTAATAAAGACAAAGCCAAGCATACAAGACGACATACAAAATGAAGAAAAAGAACAAATACATGTATACATGATTAATATACAATACAAACAAAATCAAATTACATAATTTTTATAACTTTTGATTTAAATTATTAACAAGGTTCAAAAACAGTTATCATAAGTCAACAAACAACTATCCTAATAACATAAAATTGTCCTAAACATATGCAAAATCATATAGTACATCCAGTGCTACTGACTTAAACAAGAAACTAATTGAAAATCATCCAATCTAGTATGTTTTATGAAGGAAGAGGTATATCATAACAACACAATGAAAATGATACTTATTCTCTAAATATATCACGCAATAATCTGGCCAAAGCATTGAAAATATCAAATCATAAACACAAGTTGAAGACATGATTCACTATTATTAAATCAAAACTCAATAATGTTTTCTTAAAAAAGTATATGCAAGTATAATTAGTTTATGAAATCCCCACTCTGATCTCATGATACATATTGATTTGATAAACATGTAAATATGCCACAAGAATAGATGAAATGCACCCTTGCACATAGAGCACCGCAACACTACGCTAGAACAACCTAGCACACAACCACACTCAATAACAACAGCACCGCACAACAGAGCACCACACAAAACACACAACACGCAATAGCAGCGCACCACACACGCAACAACTAACCTCGCAGCACCACGACTAAAATAGAAGGGAAAAGGAAACTCACCAACACATGCATGTAAATAATTGTCAAATATCTCGCTCAATTAACATACTATAGGATTCAATTTTGTATAAAGGCAAAAATTGAACCTTAAATTGATAAAAATCAGAAACCCTAGATTTCAAATCGAAGAGCAACATACCTTCGTGAAAAAATCCACCACAACTGCAAAGGGAAGGCACCACCGCTGCCAATTACGATGGTCGCGACAACATTCACCACCGCCATCACCCTCAATTCCCCACTACTACGAAGAAAGATAGAGAAAGAAAGAAAGATCTGGGAATGAAAGAGATAGAGAGAAGAATGAAAGAGATAGTGGGGCGGTGGTGGAGTAAAGAATGACAGAGAGCAAGAGGAGGCAAGAGATTGAAGATAGAGAAAGGAGGGTTTGAGCAGAGAAGAGAGAGGATGCAATTAAGAGTGGGGTAAGGAGAGAGGACGGCTTATAACACTATAACATTAACACCGGTTAACCGGTGCTCTTTGTATTAAAAAAATTTAGAAAAAAAATATCAAGGGGCACCGGTTAACCTATGCCATTTATATTTTGGGGCACCGATTTATAATAACCGTTGCCAATTCCTCGGTGCTAATTTATGATTTTCTACTAGTGAAGCCATTGATACTCGAGAAAGGTCCTTGGTATTTGTTAGGGTTATCTTTTCCCCGTGTTCATTGGAATTGTATGTTAGGAGTAGATATGTAATTGCATCGATCGTAATTGTGGTGATACTTGATCTTGGATGTTTTAGCTTATTGATTCATTATATTCGTTTGATTTATCCTAGTTTTCCATACATTAGCTCTTAGTTTATTCCATATTGATTGATTCTTGCTTAGTGATTACTTGAGTCTAGATAATTTAGGTGAGCCTTAGTCTCTTGGGATTTGACCCTTACTTTCCCGACTACATAGTTAGGAGGAATAGTTAGGTTATTTTTGTAAGGTACGCGACACGCCTACCAATAACTTTCCCCCTTCACCCATGTGGACGTATTCCTAATACTTCCTTAGCTTGTGGAACCACAGACTTGGAGCCCATACTCGGTGTCAACTGGGGTTGTTCTCCATTAGACTACTTAGAACAGTCTGCGGCGTGGTCTTGGCCGCCTTGGGGGAAGAATTAGCCTTTGAGGATATAAATTTCCTTGATTTGGACGACTGGCCTTCCTTGGAGGCAGAAGTCTGTTCCTTCCTCTTGGTCTTCGGAGTGGACGCTTGAAAAAAACAGTGTGAAGCCAAAGTAAGAAACAGTGTCCGAGCAAAATTGGGAAGGACACCCTTCCCAACATACCAGCTCGGCAATATAATGAAAAGACTTGCGTCCGAGCGAAGTAGGAAAGGATTCCTTTCCCAACATACCAACTCGACAAAAAAAAAAAAAAAAAAAAACAAGTGATCAGTATCTCCTTAGCCTGGTTGTACTGCTGCTGGCAAAACTTGTACCACACCAAGATAAAGTCAGACATGTTGGTCTCTCCTTTTTGTTCAGGGTCCAACATCACAAGAGCTTCGTCTAAAAAGAAAACAGAAGTGTTAGAACATTTTCAAGTTGTAAAAGCATTCGAACGGGCAAGTCACAAGGTTCCACCTTGGGGGTAGTTTCGGTATAGGCCGCAGGCCGACATGAATACCGGATTCCTAAGCCAGTCGGCCAATGGAATCCAATTAGACAGCACGGTCACAGGCTTCCTATTCCTGACCACCTTCTTGACCTTAAAATAGTCAAGTTAAAATTCGTTGTCAAGATGGACATGCGACTTAGTGGGTTTGTGCATCCCAGGTTCGAGCTGGATAGGCTCGGCGTTGAAGTGGTTCATCCGCAAATTGAATTCTTCGTTGTCAGTTCTGATGCGGTAGAATCGGTGCTTCCAGTCACGCCACTTGGACGGCTTGCGCATAGCCACCCAATATTCCTTCTAGGTGTTAAGAATAAACCAGTTGTCCGTTTTTGCATCAAGCCGCACCATGAAGTGCATCTCACAAAAAACTGGGACGTCCGAATTTAAGTGTAATACCCCGTATTTTTAAAGTATTTTATAAATTACTTATTTATTTATAAAATATATTTTAGGTTAAATTATTTTAATTATCAGATTTAAGTAAACAAGTTTTGATTTTTGGGTTAATAATTATTCAATCCGGATGTAGTTCATTTTCATAATGAACCTAATCATCCTATTTTTACATTTGAGCCAACTATTTTATCGTTTAAGTATATTAATTTTATGAAGCCAAAACCTACTCTAACCTACTCTTCACTATAAATACTCCATTTATCTCCAAAATTTTCCCACACAAAGTTAATAAGTAAAAAGGTTAGTTTTCTCTTTCTTTTTCCTTTTCATTTCCCTTTTCTTTTTTCTTTCTTTTCCTTTCTTTTTCCTTATTTTTTTTTCTCTTGTTTTCCTCCTTGTACGTAAGAATTGGATCAAGTGAATCCAATTCCACTTAGTGCTGCCACATCACCAAGGCTGGCCCACTGCCGGTGTTTGGCCGCCTACCAGCCGTCGGCGACCAGCCGACCACCACCACCATATCACCTAACTCCTCCCTTCTTTCTCCTCTCTTTTATTCTAATTATCTTGATAATTATATTTATAGGTTTTGGTTTTAATTGTTCAAAATATGTTTAATTAGTATCAAACCATGTTTTGAAGGATTTAAAACTATAATTTCAAATTATTACATTTGTTATTTTTCAGATTTCATAAATTATAAAATTAGGGTCTTTAATTATTCAAGACCTGATTTTTTTAGGGTTCTTATACAAATTGATTTGAGGCTTTTATGTACCCAATGATTCTAGTGATTATTTAAGTTGATAGGGTCACAAAATTATATTATTTATATATATTAAACTCTTGATTTTATATTGACAATTAATGATTTAAGAGTATTATAAGTAATTTTCTTCCCAAGACACAATTTACTACAGTTTTATTATTTGTTTGTAGGAAGGAAGATTACGATATCAAAGTGATATTTTATTACCTCCTAGATTAAACGAAGCTAAGCTCACAAGCCTAATCAACTCACATGTGTGTCAACCCAATAATGTTTCATAGCAAATAGCCAAGTGGACCATGAACTCATGAGGTACACCAACTGGTTACTCAGCCAAAACAATAGAAAGAAAAAAGAGCAGTGAGAACTCCTCTTACTGTTTATTGCGGGTATGGCACAAACAAAACCATAGAGCGATTTTTGCGGAAAATCAAATTGTCAAGCAAGAAAAGATAGAGATGGAGTCAGCTGAGGATAGGAGCGAAATACTCGGAGCAGCTGAGATGAATAAAAGGTTCTTTATTGTTCTGTTAGGGGAGTTCTTGGTGGAATTCTGATCCGTATTTTTGGGGGTATTTGGGGGTGAGATTCTGCAGCTTATCTGGAGATCTTGCTGGGCAGAGAAATTCAGAATAGAGCTAGAAGAAAAGCAGCAGCATCAAATTCGAGGGGAGCAGAACAGTAAGACGGAGGAATCGAGGTGGTTGTAGCTCTCGGTTTGCTACGAAACAGGCTGGAATTTCGTTAAGTTAAAAGTTGTACTTTGGGGGAAAGTTTCTGGGCTGGTTGTTCGTGGTTGTTAATTTATGATTTTTGCATGCAGTATTTCAATAGTTGGTGATTTAGTACTAAGTTAATTTTGTTTTCATCATTTCAGTATTATCAGATTAAGAATTGTTTCAAGTAAATTAGATTCATTTACTTGTTTATTTTTATCTCATTATTCTCTTTAAGTAATATTATTTATATAGCTTCCATTGTTATACTTTCACTTTTCAGTATGTCAGGCTAGATTAGTCGTGGGTACATAGATATAGTATACATTGGATTATTGTATTGTGAGAATAAGAATGTTATGATTTAAGCTTATTATGTTTATATCTTGATTGGAATGATAATATGGTGTATTGGTATGAATTAGTTGCGTTATATTTTGGACCGGCCATCTTTAGTATAGTTTGCTAGTTTAATTGCTAGAATATTGATTTGTGATACGTAATTGTCCGGATTAATACTCCTTAGTAGCACTTAGGTTTTTGATAGGTGACTGAAGCTTGTTTGATGCCTATGATTATCAGCCCTTTAAGTTGCACGATCCGAGCTCATGAGATTTGTGGCTTAAGTTAGCTACTTCCTAGTTATTAATGCTGCTAAATTAATCGAGCCTAGAGAGCTTGTTCTAGATTGTTAGTTAGTAAGACAATATTCCAAGAGCTTGTTTTGTTTATTTGCAATTAAGGGAAGTGTTGAATGTTTGTTTGTTTTCATCGCCTAACATTGAGATAAAAACATGATTTATATAATTCGATGATCAATCGATATTCCAATGCTATATTGTATCTCCTGATCCCTATTTTGTCATTCTTGATTTTTAATATTTATTGTTACTGTTTGTTTTATATCTCCGTACTTAGCTCATTTTCAAGTCCGTAGTTTTATATATTAGATCGTAATAGTCATTCTTCAAATCAGGGGTTTTTAACATACACAAGTAATAATTTAATAATCTAATTCTATGTGGGATCGACCCTAGCTTACCCTACTACATTTTAGGAGGTTTTAGATAGGTTTATTTTTGGTAGACACGCAACAGTCGTATCATAAGTATAAAGATGTATTTTTGGTGAACTTATAATCGATTTTTTATTAAACAATAATGCTGGAATTTTGCTTAAAGTAGTAGAATTTGATTTTAATGAAAGGAGTTAATTACCCACTAAAAGTGAGGCTAATTAGCGGTTTTAAAATAATTTTCAGATTATTATAAGTTGTTTAAAGTGAGTTTAAGTTGCTGGAAATTGCGTATACAAGGGTAATTGATGTAGTTTTATTGTCCCTTTATATAGGAGACTTTGTCTGGGAAGTGTTTTAGGATGTATGACTATTTTAGTAGCATTTTCAAGGTACATACGCGTACTCGGAATTTTATATAGCGTGTAGAAGCATGCTAGGATATGTTTTGATTAGTTCCAAGTTAGTTTAATGCTAGGAATTGGTTGGAATTGGTGAATTGAATTGGATTGTTGAATTGAAATGAATTTGGTGAATTATTTATGAAGCATGATTGGTTTGAATATCTATTTATTAGAATGGTGATTATGGAATATTGTTATTGAACCATTGCTTTATTATTGGCATAATTGAAAGCATGTTTAGTTAAACTAAAAGTTTAATTGAGTTTGGAATATAAAAAGAGAATTTTATTATGTGTTGGGTCT